TCTGCCCTGGACACAGAAATGGAGATGAGAACGAGAGCCTTAGTCCCCCACTTAGAAGCAGAGAGCCGGCCAAGGAGAATCCCACTGACTGGGACCCACTCAGGGAAGTCCCTTTCTTATCTCTTAAACTTGGTTCTGTTGAAACAGAACTGTGGGGATTTTCCATTTTGCACTGCTGGAAAGAGGAGGAACTCGAAGGTGCTGGTTTACATTTGGAATGACTTTGCTGGGGAAAAGTAAAGGGGGTGGAGGTGGTCTCAAGAAAGTACATCTGTGAGCTGTTTGGCTTTGTCTGGGCTTTTACTCTCCTAGTCAACAGAGTTGCTCCCTCCGTCTGGCAGAACTGCTGTCAGAAGTGCCAGGCTCCCATGACAAGAGTGTCCACTTTGCAGCCCCTGAGGGAGGTCTTGTTTGTTAAGATGAGGCCCCTCCATCCTTTATCAGTTCCATCATTATCTTCTTCAAGCATATTTTAAATACCAGTGGACTCTCCTGAGCAGTGTAAGCTAACAGCCCCTATCCTCTTTGGGATCATAGTTTTTTCCCTTCTGTCTGCTTTCATCCTCCCAGGCAGTGGACTCAGTGCCTCTCTTCTCTGACGCCTCCCCCAGTTCTGAGGGAAGATACTTCTGTTTTCCTGTTGGACCAGCTCTGTTCTGTAAGATGGACCCACTTCTCTGCCAGAGAGGCTCTGACGTAGTTTTCATTACTTTACATCCCCAGTTTCAGTAAATCCTCAGACCACTGTCTTTATTATGTTTCTTTTTCTACCCAGAAAATCACTTTATTTTCTGCATTTACAAGTTGCTGTGGTTTTTACCCAGGAGGGTTTTGTCCTAGAGGAAGACTTCTCAAATATATTAATGTCTCGGGGTAAACTTTTGATTCTCACAAGGATTTCTCATCCCGGCACTTGGCTCACCGTATGGGGGTTTTTAGACAGTCTCAGTGCTGGCCATTGAAAGTCTATATGCCAGGTGATATATTAGCTGATTCTTCAAGCTACCTACACATACAGACTATTACAGGCCACTGTCCGCAGGCATGTCCCAGTGTCACCATCACCTTGTTAAGTTGGTAAGCATTCCAGAGGACCCAGCTAGGAAAGCTGAACGAACTCAGAGGCAAGCTTATGAGGAGACTTCTCACTCAGGGTTTTCTGGGATGTCACTGAGAGAAATTGGGTGTCTGAATAGAAATAAATTCTTTAAACGAGGGGGCTTTGTCCTGATCTGCCGGCCTAACAGTTCCTCTTGTATTGGTGGCTTTATCTATAGTCTATGACTTGCTGAAGTCACTCAAACTAGAGTCACAGCCAAATAGAGCTGAGCAGCCCTGGAGCTCAGCAAACTGGTCCTGTGTAGGGCAGTGGCCCTGCTGTCAGCCAGGGGTCAGTACTGGCCAGTGTGTATGTTAGTGGGGGTGTTTACTCTCAGGACATGTGAATGCAAAGCAAACTCATACCTCCTTCACTGTGCACAGTCAGAGTTCTGGGCTGAAGTGTAGACTGAATTGGTTTTTCACAAAAACAAGCATTTTGCGAGTTTGGATAAATCAGCCTGCCTATTTTCATGTTACAGATATGGAGACTAGCCAGCTGGGAGAAGGTGTCAGTGTTTTACAAAAACACTGCTGGTGTTGAGAAATGATAGCTTTTTTCTGAGGCCCAAAGTAACATCACAGACCAGTCCACCCTGCTTTGAAATCTTAATCTCAAATAAGAGTCCCTGGTGTTTTCTCACATGGGGAGCTGGCCTCTGTGTGTTCTGTACAGACACACTCAGGCTGGAACAGTCTTTCCTGGAATCGCTTCTTCCCACCCTATCCCAGTTTTTNGCTTGTTTTTATTTGTCTTGTTGATGATAGCCTAACAGGTGTGAGGTGATATCTCATTGTGATTTGCATTTCCCTAATAGCTAGTGAAGTTGGGCTGTTTTTCCATATATCTGTTGGCCATTTGTATGCCTTCTTGGGAGAAGTGTCTGTTCAGGTCCTCTGCTCGTTTTTGGGTTTTGTTTTTTTTTGTAGAGGGCAGTGTCACTGGCCCTCATATGTGGGATCCGAACCGGGGCCCTCTGGCATCCCAAGCCAGATCTTAACCACCGCACCACTTGGCCGGCCCCTCTGCTCGTTTTTTAATTGGATTGTTTGTTTTGTTGTTGAGTTGTACAAGTTCTTTATATATTTTGGATATTAGTCCCCTTATTGGAGGCATTGTTTGCAAATATCTTCTCCCATTTGATTGGTTGCCTCTTTGTTTCGTTGATGGTTCCTTTTAGTTTGATATTGTCCCATTCATTTATTTTTGCTTTTACTTCCCTTGCCTTTGAAGTCAAATTCATAAAATCCTCTCTGAACCCAAGGTCCATGAGTTTAGTACCTATGCTTTCTTCTGTACAATTTATTGTTTCAGGTCTTATGTTTAGATCTTGATTCATTTTTAGTTAATTTTGGTATATGGTGACAGATAGCAGTCTAGTTTCTTTATTTTGCATGTGGCTTTCCAATTATCCCAGCACCATTTATTGAAAGGGACTTTTTTTCTTCATTGTATGTTTTTGTTCCTTTGTCAAAAATTCTCTGCGCATGAGTATGTGGCTTTATTTCTGGGTTTTCAGTTCTGTTTCATTGGTCTATGTGTCTGTTTTTCTGCCAGTACCATGCTGTTTTGATTATTGTCACTTGGTAGTACAAGCTGAAGTCAGGGAGTGTGATACCTCCAGCCTTGTTCTTTTTTCTTAGGATTGCTTTGGCTATTCAGGATTTTTTGTGATTCTGTACTAATCNCAGGGTTTGTTAAGGACCTCGGTGCCAAGCGTGGTGCTGGGTGCCGCCTTGACAAAGAAGAGCTGAGACCCAGTCCCCTGTGCGTGAGGGGCTCCCAGCTGGAGCGGGCTGCAGGTGTGCTGACAGTGTGCTGAGAACTGGAGAAGTGTGAACACACTTAA